GAGAGAGAGAGAGAGAGAGAGAGAGAGAGAGAGAGAGAGAGAGAGAGAGATCGTCCTCAAAGCTCCCAAATTTATAGCACTGAACCAGTTTGCTGTTATGGGCTGCTTTTGAAGGTGTCTTAAATGGTAACTGTTCTAACAAAATGTTTTAGCACTTCAGTTACCAGCATTTAGAACATTTTTCCTCCTTGGCTGCTTTCTGACCTTTCTAGTCTGTATTTTAAAGATCCCTAGACACCCGGGCTGAGGGGTGCCCATGCTGAAGCTGACCTTTCAGCCTCCCAGAGTGCCCATTGCTCGTTTAAACTTTTGCTTGACCCACCTTTATCCTTCCCTGTAAGCCACAGGTCAGAAGTGATTCCTTCGCCGGTGGCACAAGGACTTGGTGATGCGATTGGCTTCGTGTGAGTTAGGAGGGCTTGCATTTATTCAGTTAGAACTGGCTGGTTTAGGGTCTCAGCTGACTTCCACTTTTTTTTTTAACGATGATATTGTACCAGGTGGATAGACACATGTCCTTTATCAGGATCATCTGGGGTGCTAATTAAATCTTTAAATTCCCAAGTCTATTGTGTATCAGCTATATCTGAAGACAGGGAACTAGAATTTTGTTCAGAATAGCTTTCTCAGATGATTTTCATGCATTCAAAAATTGTCATATGCTTCCCTCCTTCCCTTCCTCCTTCCCTTCTTCCTTCTCTTCCTCCTTCTCTTTCTTCTTCTTTCCTTCCCTTCCTCCTTCCATTGCTCCTTCCCTTCCACCTTCCATTCCTCCTTCCCTCCTTCCCTTCTTCCTTCCCTCTTTCCCTCCCTCCCTCCCTTCCTCCCTCCTTCCCTCCCTTTCTTTTGTTCTTTCTTTCTAGTGCTGAAGAGTGAACTCAAGTCTCGTGCCTCCATGCTCTGCCCACTGAGCTCTATCCCCAGACTTCCTTATTTGAGAGTTTAAAATGCTCCTGAGGTATTTATCAAATGTGGTGCAGAGGACAACAGCACACCCTCTTTTAGCCCAGCTTCAGGAGACCATTGCACACGTTTGAAGAAATGCAGCTCTCCCATTTGGGTCACATAATCCCCAAATTAAAAAGCATCGAGTCCCTGCCAAAACACAGTTAATGCTTCTCCACTACTGTAGCGGGTCCTTCCTTCTGTTCTTTGGTATGCATGGTCTTAGGATGTCACAGCTTCTCTGGCAGCTGTGCGCTATGTGCAAAGCACTGGTTGGTGCGGGAGAATTGTCTGTATTCTGTCAATCATATTTTAATAAAACGCTGATTGGCCAGGCAGGCAGTATAGGCAGGAAAGCCAGACAGGAAGTAGGGGTGGAGCAAAGAGACTGGGAGTATTCTGGGAAGCAGGAAGCTCCCTCCGCCATTCCTGTGCAGACCACCGAAGAGGCAGCATGTAACTTTCACAGCTGAGAAAGGTACTGAGCCATGTGGCTAACATAGATAAGGATAATGGGGTAACATAAATTATAAGAGCTAATAAGTAGCCTGACCTAATGCGCCAATCAGCTTTATAATTTATAGAGATCTCTGTGTGATTGATTTTCTCTGGGACTTGCCGGCTGTGGGGTCCCGGGCAGGGACGGAAACCCCAACAAGCCGGCCGTCATGTTACAACTGGTTACAAAAAGGTGAGACTCCTCTTGAAGGGGAAGCTGCAATCTCTCCTCGGTGTCGGAAAACACCCCCAGCTGGCCTTTCTCGTGAGCGGAAAGGCTGTGAACCATGAGTGTTCCATGAGCAGAGCATGGTAACAGCAAATATTCTCGAGTAACAGAAAGAGATCTAAGTGATGAATTTGAGAGCTGAGCTCAATTTGGAGGGTCACAGGTAATCATCGTAATAAAGGGAAAGTCCAGGCTGTCTAAGTCAGTCTCAAATGTGACTTTGTAGTTGCTGTAAACTGATACCCGCTAGGTCTGCAGCGTGGACACATTGGCGAGGTATCAGAAGATGAGCCCGCACCATTAGGAAAAGTCAGAGGCAACAATAAGGAGGCAGGCGGTCCTTTTATGAAACCACAGTGACTGGGCTGGCAGCCTTACTGTCCCCTTTGGAAATTGTGTCCATGTACTTTTCAGCACATGATTCTACTCTCTGACACCCATCCCTCCGGCTGATTGCTCAAAGAGAGGAGTGCTCGCCCAAGATTACTCCCTTGGATTTCTTTGAAGGAAGTGTGACTGAAGAACAAGAGACCATAGAAAGGAAGACTTGCTGTGGTGACCTTTGTTACATTTCTGGTAGTGTTAGACATTCAACTACTTTCTGCTGTTGACCACTCTGGCTCTCTTACTTTTTAAAGTTTTTCATTAAACCCTTTGCAGAATATTTTAAATAGCAGGACTTTAGCCTTACACTGTAACAGAATCTGCTTAGAATATTTCTTTCTATAGTTTATGCGGATTGAACATATACTGGTATAGAAGTCAGATAGTTGCATGGCGAGGTCCAGGGGAAAAGCGGGGTATTTACAGGCCCAGCTGCTGCTTGCCTAGTGGCTAGGCTGCACATGAGCAGCTGTGCATGTCTGCAACAAAGCAGGTGCCACATCCCAACTTTGTGCATGTCTGCAACAAAGTGGTGTTGATCATTGCCACATCCTAACTTTCTTTTTTACATGCTTAAGAGTAAACTATTTTTTTTACTATTTTTAAAAATTTATTTTAGATACCAACCACAGTTTCTCCTCCTGCTCCCTCCTGTTCCCCCTTTCCCCTCATCTACCCCTCCTCCATCTCCACTTAGATGGAAAAAGGCCTCCCATGGGAATCAACAAAGCATGGAACGGCAAACTGAGGCAGGGCTAAACTCCTCACCCATGCATCAAAGCTGAACAAGGCATCCCACTTTAGGGAATAGGTTCCAAAGAACCAACTCATGCATCAGGAACAGGTCCTGGTCCCACTACTTGGGGCCCCACAAAAGACCAAGTTGCACAATTATCATCCAGATGCAGAGAGCCTAGGTCAGTCCTAAGTTGGCTCCTTAGCTGTCCATCCAGAGTCCTAATAAGATCCATAGGGCTCAGAATTCACACAGGAAAAAAATCACTGATAAGGTTCTATTCCTCTGCCATGAATGTCAGAGGAATTCTATATATGTTCCCTGCTGACATCTACTATATTATTCTACAATCTAGTAGATGAAAGCAGCAACTATTAGCTCATAATGTCTATGGGCCAAGGATCCTCACATTGCTTCATCATGAGGTTCTAGATTAATGTTTGTGACGGGGACTGCCAGCATATATGCAGAAGCTGAAGTTATCTGAAGGGCCAGTGAAAGAAGGAGCTGTGTCCAGGCTACCTTGTGTGGCTATTGAAAGGCCTCAGTTCTTGCTTCATGAACTATTTCATAGCATCGGTTTGTCCTTTTGCTCAGAGACTTTCCTCAGAGAAATTGATGCATGGTTACCATTTTCAAACTCAACCTTGACATGTTCTTTTCATTAGATACCACTATGCGTACACTATCAGTTAAGGACAGGCTGACATTGGGCATTAATACAGGAAAAGGATTGTGAGACTTCTTATGCTGCCCACCACACCCTTAATTTTTTTTGTATTTTTGTTGTATGTGAAACCTCAATTCTTTTATCTAAAGTTATGCAAATATCTTAATGAGATAGAACTGTAATAATCTTAGAAAGAGTGTGGGCTTCATGTTGGTAAGGACAAGCGAGAGGCCATAATACTTATTCTGAAGCTATACTTGATCAGCCTGGGCATGCGGGAGAGTAATAGCGAGTTAGAAAAATGAATTTCTACTTTGGCCATGTGCTTACTCAATCCGTAACTTGGGGTAAATTCTAAAGCATAATTAGTTACCACACCTGCTAAATGGTAACTACCTAGTGGGGTAGGTGGCACATATGATAGAGTTATCTGGCAGGATTAGTAAAGGGATTCATCAGAGGTAAAGGGGACAGGCAAGGGATTGTGATCGAGGACACATACCTTGTCTAGACACAAGAGGGCTCAATTATGTATCTGCTAGTGGTTAGAAGTGTTCACAGGACACATCCAACCATCTGTGACAGGGCAGAGCTAGAGTATGACCCATGATTGGTATTTCCTCTCAACACTTTCTTGAGGTGAAGTACATGTAAGCTGAGTTTACTTCTGAGCTTCAAGGCTGAAGGAAGCTGTAGATGCAGTCTAGAGTGGCCAGCTTTCCCAAACATAAAGCAGCCTCCTGGCAGGGTGAGGATTGGAGGGAGTGGCTTACAGGGCAACTGGAAGCTGCTCAGTAGGGCAGCGGCTTTCTGGGCTGCACCACTAGTATGAACTGGATGAGGTCCGGCTATGGAGCATTTAAATGGAGTTTGTGAGCAGACTGCTACAACTTCCTTAAATGCAACATAGACCTGATGTGTGCCTGAGAATGAGGCTGTGAGCATGACTCACTCTAAATAGACCTCCACCCTGCCATGTCGGACTGAGTAGAGCAAGCAGGCAGTGCTGTATTTCCCCTAGCAATGGTGCCACTTAAGTTCATAAGAAGGGCTTAGCATTTTAAGAAGCACTTCTGGTCAGAAAATAATTACAGATACATAATAAAGACAAATTCAGATGAAAAAGACCTGTAAATAAGACACAGTTTGGTTTTGAAAAGGTGCATAAGTTTGGGAGAAAGAATAAAAAGAGTATAGAGAGTTATAACAAGAAGTAATGGTTTATAAAAAAGAAAGGATTAAGATAATAAAATAAACATTAAACTTGTAGAAAAAGTAATAGAGTAATAAAAATAAGCCATGTAAAGCTGGTATATACACAGAGAATCTGGATTATGCATATTATTGTGTTTTCTTTGAATTTTTGGCGGTAAAGGAACTAAGTACAGAGAGAAATTTCATTGTATGGGCTGCTAAGCTAAACCAGCATGTACAGTATAAAGGTATCTTGACTTCAGAATTTGGGTCTAAGGATATGTTGCTTTGGGGGTTCTTCTTTTGTTTCCACAGAGAATGAGAACCTCTAGATTCATTCCAGGCATATGTGGTTTGGTGGACCAAGACCCCCTGAAATATCACTTTGAACAACCCTCAAACATATCCCTTTACTTTGCCCAATAAACAACAGGAAGCTGTTTGGAGAGAACTATGCCCATATTCCCAAATATTGTTTATAAATGTTTGTTTACATTTAAAGGGGGAGATGCTATAGTGATTTTTATTGGTATGGATCTTGGTTTATTGATGCAAATTTAAGGTCAGTTTTGTTATATATATATATATATATATATATATATATATATATATATATATATATTTCTGTTCTTGATTAAGGTATTGTGTTTGTGCAGCTCATTTGGAAATGTAATGCATAATTAAGAAATATAATAGATAATCATCTGTAATAGTCAAGCTTGTAGTCATGTTAGTTAGATTTTCTAGATATATAGAGATATATTTCGGTAGGATAGGTATTCTTCAAATCTTTAAGAGACTACATAATATGGCATTTAAAATGTTTAATATCTTAGAACTTTTCATGACACTGAGTCACATCTGCTCCTGGCAGCACCAATTACTTCAAGAACTTTGGGTGACTGTCCAGGAAATGAGATGTCTCTGTCATTTCTAATATTATATCCTTCTGAAGACTTTGATGGAGTTGAAGAGTAGATAGTAATAATATAGTTTTCCTTAGTTATGATAAGAGATAAAGTAGCATGTTGAAGTTAAAACCTTCCTTTTTATTTAAAAAAGGAAGGCGATGTGGGATTCTTTTCTGTATGCTGTGAATATGATTGGTGAATAAAGAAACTGCCTTGGCCTGTTGATAGGGCAGAACTTAGGTAGGTGGGGAAAACTAAACTGAATGCTGGGAGAAAGGAGGCAGAGTCAGAGAGAAGCCATGGACCTGCCAGAGACAGACACGCTGAAACTTTGCTGGTAGGTCACAACCTTGTGGTAAAATACAAAATAATGGAGATGGGTTAATTCTAGATGCAAGAGCTAGCTAGCAATACGTTCAAGTAATTGACCAAGCAGTGTCTTAATTAATACAGTTTCTGTATGATTATTTTGGGTTTGAGCTGCCAGGCAGATGGATCAACCAAGCAGCCTTATTACAACACAGTCTAGAGTGGTCAGCTTTTCCAAACACAGAGTGGCCTCCTGGCAGGGTGAGGACTGGACGGAGCGACTTAGAGGGCAACTGGAAGCTGTTCAGTAGGGCAGTTGTGTAAAGAATGAAACATGAGTCACATCAGGGACCAGGAGCTCAATCAATGGTAACTATTAAAATAATTTTCATTGCCTGCTAACGGGTCTATGGATGCTGATTAACTATATTAGAATGTTTGCGTTCGGGCAGACCATAAAGAAATGTCCCTTTTCTACCTAGGGTTTGACTGCAAGCATCTCCGCATTAGGACAATCGGGCAGAACGGAGCTTATGGGATTGACTCACACTATTTCCCCCAGTCAAGCTAAGAGAACGATCTCATTCAGTACAATACACCGCCCACTGACCCGTTAACAGGAGATGCCTCTTCAAGTTCTCACGGGTGTAGCAATGGTAGAAAAGCTTCCTGCATCTTGTGTTCTAGCAACTCTCCAGATCAGACGTCAGCGCCCCGCAGAGAGCCAGCCTTGCTAGGCATGGCATGTGGCTGCAGTTAGAGTCTGCCATCCAACTTTCCTCCCTCCCAGCTGCCTGCCTTTATCAGCTGCAACAGCCATGACGGTGCCACTCCCACGCAATTCAGCATACAGCGTTCCGGGGGTTCCTAAGCATTGGGTTGGAACCAAGCAACAGACGGAGAGGTTCTGTTGCGGAGAGGCTGTAAGGAGAGGTGGACAGCGAGGCAGGGAGCCAAATGGGCCGTCTGGAAGATGGAGGTCCCGAGAGCAGGGTGGTTCCGCTGTGGAGATTCCTAGGAAGCTGCGGTTTTCACGCCCTCCCTTTCTTGTCTTTCCCTTCCTTCCTGTGACCGATGCCCACTCGGAGGAAGCCTCCGCTGCTCGTTTCCTGGCAATAGCCGCCTGTCTTCTCGGCCCCACAGGTAGGAGCTTCTCTCGAAGGCTGAGCTCCGACAACTCCATTATCCTCGGAGAAAGCAGCCAACGTGGTGCAGATGGTATTTGAAATGTATTTGTTTCTGTGTCAACTGCTCTGTTCTGAACATAAACATCAATTCAGTGACTTCGCTGTTGTAAGTGATAAGTTGCGGCAGCGTCGCTTGCTTCTGAGTTAAACGACAGCAGCAAAATGGAAAATCACCATTAAAAGGCTATATTTGCATATTTTATGCTGTCAAAGAACACGGCACTAATGTAGCATAAGGAGAAGTCTTAAACAGAAACATTACAGCTTTCAAAATCGAAGGAAGACTTTTTAAAGTGCCGAAATTTCATTTACAAAAAGAAACAGGGAACGTTTATTTCCCTGGCAAAATAATAAAGAGCACTTTCTGGTGACATTTTTAATAGCATATTAATTTGAAATGGTAATTTTGAGAAGTAATTTCATTTACATAAACACCAAATGCATTCTAAATGCTCGGCATTATCATAATGACTGGAAATTAAATTAATAATGATAGGGAAGTTAAAAATCTGACATAACCTCCTTGAATTTTTGTATTTACTCCCATTGAACTTGCATGCTCAACTTCATTTGTTTTCGTCTTGCCGAGCTGAACAATTCTTCTTCAGCTTCGGGAGTTTGGAATTGACTCTCAAGAGGTATTCACAGGAAAGCGAACCAGCCAGGCACTTTAGCAGCTGCTAGGCCTAATTGGTCAAAGGTACACAGGCAGGCATGCACACCAACACACACACACACACACACACACACACACGCACGCACGCACGCACGCACACACCATAATGTCAATTATTTGGCTGCTGCATTGCTGTGTTTTGCTGAGATGGGTGAACTAAGAGGCTGTTCTTTTAATAATAAAGGAAGGGGTTCTTTTCAAAGTTATAGCTAAGTTATTGTATAAAATCAAGACCCAGAGGTATAAAGCCCACAAGGAGGGGAGAAAACGTTTCTCTTCTTACCCTGAAGAAGCATACAAGCTCTATAAATGGTTTTGGTGACGGGATTCCTTAGGGTGGCCTCTTGGTTTCTTTCCCTCTCTTTCAACTGCGCGCCTTGATGGTCAGCGAACCTGCTGATTGCAGGACCTTCAGCGAGGCACAAGACAGCAGGCGATCTTGCTTTCAGAAGGCTTGCGCAGTTTGGGGATTCAAAGGTTGAGAAGCGAACTTGGAATTTGTCTGCTAGATGAGCGATTCCTAGGGCAGACAGTTCTCTCTGGAAATGTCAGCACAACCCAGGACTCTCAGTCACGTGCTCTGCTCCTTCGCGTTTGCTGGTTGGCTACTGTGGTTCAAGTCCTTGATCTCTTTGCTTCCTAGACTAGATTTTGACAAGAAAGTCGTGAGGATATGCCACCGATTCTGAAGTACAGGGCGGAACAGGCACGTTATGCTCCACGCAGGACTCTCTTCCGCTCCTAGAAGGCTTTGCCGGCCCAATTTCCGCACGCTTTGGCCATGATACCTCTGGGACTCCCATTTCTCAGACAAGACTTCTGAAACGGCGCATGTGTGACAGCTGCTTTACCAAGTCAGTGTTTGTCCTGTCGACCCCAGGCGGCTCTTCCTCGTTTTCTTAAGTTTCCATCCCCTCGAGAGTTTCAAAACATTAGATAAAATGGAATGAGAAGATGAATTCCTACAATTTACTCCAAATTCTTTATTCTGAGATTTTCATTGAGCTCGAAGAACACAGCAACAGAATGAACCAGTCACCGGAGGACTGAACGGCCTGGCTTCAGAGAGCTGACAGTCTGTGTAGCAAGCCAGTCTCTACTCGGAAATTAGAAGTTCATGGCGAGCGCTCTGTGTGGGTCCCATGCACTCAGTGCGGCAGGTCTTACAGTTGGAAGACCCCTTTATAGCTAGCCACGGCTGTCATTGCACTGAATCCGCCTTTCCTTATATTGTTCTGTTCTCACGGCCCTTTTTCTGGAGCAGTTCATTGGGCCCCAGACAGACATGAATGGGCTCAATGGAGGCAACAAACAGGACAATTAAATATCGCTGGAGCGTCTGATTGGCTGCTTTTAAACCAAGGAGGGGGCTGGTGATGAAATTTCAGCCATAGATCCATAAACACATAGCAGTAATATCTGCGGTTAAAATCAGTTTAATGTGTTCTAGTATCGTTTATGGATCCCCCATCCCCACCCCATAGAGTTTGGTCTGACAGATTTAAGGTCTTCTACCTGCTAATCATTTCTATGAATCTTTAACGGGGCAGGCTCTTCTTACCTGAAATTCTAAAGCAATGTAGTAGATTAGGAGAAAGATGTATTGATAAATCACCTGTGCTAACCTCCCCCTCCCAACTCTTCCACCAAAACGCTTGGAGAGTGAAATCCAAAGCTGTCTCCTGTTCTCTAGTAGCCTCTCTGTTTGTCATTTTAAAGGGGGAGTTTATTCAGAATACAGTTATTTCATTTACAACTGACCTCATGGAGCGATCATTTCACGTTTTTTTCTTTGGTGGCTTCGGAAGCACTGTCTTAGTTGGTTAAGGTCTTTCCTTTTGTGTCCTTTCAAATGAATGGGTAAGAATACAATTGAGACCTGGGTTGTAAACAAGACATCAGGTTGTGGCCCACTCCTTAGGCCCTCATCCCTGCCTATCTTTATGTGTGCTTGAGTTTCATCCCGTGCCTCGGTTTGCCATCCGGCAATTCTGACCTCTGACACATAGAACCACTGCAGTTGCTGCTTTTTCCTCTTACAAAAGAAAGACTCAGAGATAAGTAATAATAGAGAAATAAAACAGGGCATATTTGTTTCCATCTTAGCTTTTCAAATGTCTGTGTCTGACATGTAGAGATTCCCATAATGCCCCTGCCTCACTACTTTCTATATGATCTCTGTCCTGCCCTGTCTCTTTCTTTGGCAATTGGTGTCCCAAAGCCCTGTCTCTTCTTGCTGCCTAAAATGGGTGCTGGAAAGATCGAATGAGAGACAAAGAAAGACCATGGTTTCGTTTATGCGTTTTGGAGTTCAAGTGCCTTTCAGAAACAACAGATCGTTTTTAATCTGACATCTCCTAATTAAACTGATCGGGAGATAAAACGCATCCAACAAGTGTCTGAATTATGGAAGTTAAAAATCTCAGAGAATTGCAAAAGCCATTCGTGCTCCTAAACCCTCAGGAAAGGGAATGTCCTTGAAAGGTCTCCTAGCAGGGAGTTAGAGACCTCAGCTGGGGGCCTGCTGTCATGTTGTAATCACTATAATTTATAGCACACCAGCTCATCCCCTTCGCCTCACCAGGAGGCCACCTGGAAGTTAGTCAGCTTGAGGCAAGACCAGAATATAGGAGGAGAAAAGGAAAAAGAATGGTAAACTCCCTTCAAGGAGTCTGTGCTATAATGCACACTTCAGGGCATCTTTCCCGGGAGTCTAACTTTCAAACAGAACACATCTTCAGTTTCTGAATATATGTGTCGTTAGAAAAGAGTTATGACCTGTCCAGAGCAATTCCTCCAGGATCTTTGGCAGAGGTTCAAGAATGACTTCAATTTCATTCATTCATACATTGAGTCAGACACTCCTTCATCGAATATTAATTTGGGATCTGCCAACTGGGTCACAGTGAGACAGATCTCTAGATTGTGGGTGGCTGAACACTCATTGGAGTGAAGTTGGGAAGAGACGGAAAGAGAGGTAAATATGGATGTAAACAGGACAATGTCGGGTATTCTACCGCTTCTGCCGTCTAAAGCAATCTTGTTCAACTCTGGCTCTTCGCACCCGCATTTTAGTTAGAAAGAGACATTGGAGCGCTAGAAACTTCAGATGGGAGAAGGAGCAAAAGAGAGGGAAGGTAGAAATGGAGAGGCGTTAGCTCTCGAAGTTAGACAGGTTACCTCTCGGTGATTTTTACGGCAAGCCATTAAAACAATCTGCACAGAAGCTGCAGCGTGGGACTGTGGGACTAGCCTTGCCTGCTCGACAGGTAGCCTTGAGAGGCACACGCATGTCCACAGGCAAGGATAACAGTACAGTGCAACAAAAGAGTTTTGGGGCTCATCTGGATTCAAATCTTGACACTGTCTTCTTCTAGGTTTGTTATCCGGCAAGTTGTTTGCAAATTTCCAGCTGCATTATCAAAAACCTGATAGTGTTATAACCTCTATCAAAGACTCATTATGAGAATAAGTGAAAGCGTATTCATAAAGGCTCTAAATAATTCCTCTCCTTTTGAAAGATAACCAGGAAATACATGCCTGCAAGTTCTCTATTTGTCTGAAGTCACAATTTAGATTTTTGTGTGTGTGTGTCTAGCACATTATTATACTCCATAAGCTACAGTAACCATTTCTTAAAATTCTCCAGGATGCCAAGCAAGACCAAGTCAGTACTCTGCCAGCATGTCGCATCCTAAGACCAACAGGGCCGAGTGTTAACGGGGGAATTATGTAGGTCTAGTTGGACTGTTCGAATGTCTGTGGGGAGTGCTTTGATTGTTGACTGGAATGAGGAAATCCATGCTGAACGCAGGGAGCACCGCTTGCTTAGTGGATTCGACCCTGAACTGTGGAAGAATGAGAAAAGCTCGCTGAGAATACTCTGCCTCACAACCAAGCAAGGACGGACTTGCCCTATGATCCTGACTGTAGATGCGATCGATACAGCCAGCTGTTTGAGCTTTCTCGACATCCTGGAGATGATGGGCTGTAACCCGGAACTGTGAGCTAAAAGCCAAATCTTTCCTGTCCCCAGTTGTTCTCTGTCAGGATATTTTATCACAGCCACAGAAACGAAACCAGGACAGGGCCGTTCATTGCATGGCTCCCAAACTCAGCGAAGGATCCCGACTGACACCGGGGGACGGGCTTTAATTCGTCTGTTTAGCTCCAAACCCAACAGTGTTCCTTTGAGGTTGACCACTCCTCAGGTCTGAGCTTGTAAGGCATCTGGTATTGTGAAGACTCAAAAAAGAAAAGAAATCAGAGAATGGAAAATT